TCAATTGTTACCCTTCTAGACAATAAGTTACTTGCTGTTGGGGCATACATCTTCAAGCAGGGTGAAATCCATTGGACCAACAGTGGCAATGACCCTTTTTTTGGCAATTGTTTGCCACCTGTTCTCCGAGTTGGGCGTTAATTCGGACAAGCTGGGCAATTCCGTCACAACATAGAGTACTAGGTGCGACGTTTCCGAATGCTCCAACTTATGTATGGGTACAAATTAGTCACTGTCACTACAAGAAAACCTAGCTTCACCGACCATATATCACCGAAGTAAGAAGGTTTCTCGGTGAAGCATCCATTTACCGACAAGATATAAGTCTGCAACTTGAGAAACAGTAGAAATGGCAGTAAAATATATTATTTATTGTACAGACGTAAGACTTGTCGGTAATTTAACAAAATACATACGTGTTTCTTGTCGGTAATTGTAACCAAAACTCCGGCCGGTTGGGGAAAGGAGGGAAGGCATATCACCGACGAGAAGTACGCCTGTAAATTGAATTTGGAACGATAGTCTCGTCGGTAAATGAGGAACAATTTCCAACGTTCATCTCCTCGGTAATTTCCACTCCCAATGCACCACTCCCGCCAACCAGCTGGCTGCCTGCGTCAGGGGTGCAGCTTTTTGATGACATTTCCGACATAGTGCATGTCGGTAACTTGCACTTAGTTAGCAACTCCCCGCGAATCCGGCTGGTGGCCACTGGCGGTGCAGCTTTTACTTTGTTTACCGATAAGATATAGGTCGGTAATATGTCCAGTTCCAACTTGATACTCGTCGGTGATTGTCCAGTCAACGGGAAGCCTGATGCAACGCAGAGATGAGCAGCTTTAGAGGGTAGCACTGTGGGTTTCGTCGGTAACCTTCCCTATTGCCCTGCCGACCCCCCCTTCTGCTTTCATTTTGGTCTTTCTCTTTTCATTTTCATTTTCCTCTTGTCCCGAGTTGCTCTTGCTCCCTTTTCCTCCATTCTTCCCTTTGAAGCAGTTTAACACATTTTGCTTGTTGCAATTTAGTAGATCAAGCAATGGTAAGTAAAATTTAAGTAGTATTATTATTTTTTATATATTTTATGTATATTTTATTTTATTTTTTGAAATTTAAACCGTTAAATATTGTTATTA